AGCGGCTGTTGTCACACCTGAAAATAACAAAGGGATGGGTGTGTTCAAAACTGATCAATGAATTATTACACAGTGTCTAAACTTTTGTTTGACTTATTATCCCTAAGTCCCAGCACAAGAAAAAGACACAAATAACAACTAATGAGATTTAATTATATTTTGACCAAGATGTTCTTTCTTACACCACCATGAATCTCAAAACAACCATATTATCTCGTACTATACTGACCAAAAATCACTATAAGCCTTTTATTTCCCACCAGAAACATTACCTGTTTTATAATATGGTGCAGGTACAGCCATCTGCACTATGACCTCTGCACCCTCCACTTGTGTTTTGGGTGGGGCTACCAGGTAGATGAGTCCCCCCCACAGGTTCCACACCTGCACCATCTCTGTGGTAACAGGAAATCGCTCATGGACACATGGTGCTCTTTTCAACTCTGCAGCATTCAGTCTGTCTGTCTGACAGCCTATCTGGATCTGAGGAGGACACAGAATACGTGTTATTGATTGTAAGTACAGTCTATACTATGAATAAAAGGATACAAGGTTAGGATAGCTGTTGGGTGTGGATTCCTCTAGGGGTGGGCTGGACCACCTCTTAGGCAGGGCACTGACATATGGACTAGGGTCTGGCTGCACTGGAGGTGAGGCAAGGAATACATTAGGGGGAAGGCCTAAACGCTGCTGGAAACGAGGGCCTCGCATGGGTTGGGCTATGGCAATCCACTTTTGGGAGCGCAACATTAACAGAAATACAATGGAAGTTCAAAAGTTAATGGATTTGATTTTGTGTACCTTCCATTCCTTGTTGACAAGCTCTGCTGGTATGGCCATGTAGGTCTTCATACCAGGAGAGAGGTAGAGACCTGTACTGACCCACTCCTCCCCTCCTGACACACACACAGAAAATATTATATTATAGTTATATTTACAAAACCTGCAAGACACATTTCACCCTTCTACAGACACCATTCTGCAGTCTGTAGATGAATGCAATGTAACAGTACAAACATTACTAAAATATATTCAATTCAGTTGTACATAATAAATTATGTCAATGAAACACAAATAATCCCAAGTCTGCATATACTGTATATAAATTGAACTTGTGATATTTATATTTGTCCACAACAATGAAGTCTGACCTGCAGTGTTTGCATTAATCTTGATTTTCTGGTTGTAGACAACTGGCATCATTGGGGTTATGCTTGATGAGGTTAGGGCAGGAGCAGCATCAGGATTTGGGCAAACCTTTGTAAAACCTCTGCCCCCACACTTAGGAGTAGGTGGTCTTTGGGACTCTTCACAGGGCAGCTGTCACACACCTTGAAAGACAATCAATAACGATGTTATTATGTTTATGTTTCTCTAACACACCTGACTGGTTGTCTGCTTTGTGTTCTTGCAACGTGTTATAAAGCATTCATGGTATTTTGTCTACTCACCTGTGGCATGCCCGTCTTCTTCAAGATGTCGGTGAGAGTGGACACCACTTGTGTATAGGAGGAGCAGTCGTGAGCCTTCATGTGCAAGAAGGTGGAACAGTCCTTGCCCAGTTTTTTAAGGCATTCCTCCTCATGCTTGCTAAGTTCTGTCCCCTGGGTTACATGACCAGCAAAGCGGTGTAGCAGGTGGCGGAAGTGGTAGGTGTCTTTGATGGCCTGGCTGGGCACCGGGGCCTTGTACAAACCTCCTGTGACTGTGGCCCCCAACAGACTCAAGCCCATTTTGTTCAGGATCTTGTTCCCTGAAAGACAATCAAGCAAACCTCATTTGATCTACTGTGTTCTATTGTTGAAATTATTATGCACGGATTATAAAGACACTGATATCAATAGTTTTGGTTTGTAGCTTAAGAAAACCCAAACTCTGAGTCTGATTCTGTCACTTTTAGATTGGAGTTTATGCAGGTCTGTTTCATATTGTATATAAAGCAGGAGCTCAATAATGAGAAATAAGTTTGTGTTCTTTGACATCACAACAGCTCTTTTGTGTGTTTGCAAGTCTTATCTTTTCCCATCCACATTGTCCGGAGTAGCCCTTTCACACATTGGGCCCTAGCTGTTCCATCTCAGATACATACTGGAAATACTCTGGTCTAGGCGAGGGGTGGCACTGTGGTAAAGTGTGCAGGAGGCAGGATATGACGCAAAAAGTATGCTGCTGAAATCCCAATGTTTTGTTTACAGAAGAAAGCGTCAGCCTTTACCGACAAAAGTTCCTTAATCTTGTTGTCATGACCCTTATTCACCCCTTAGATTTTCGTATTCTTTTGCGGCAAGTGCATGATAGAAATGTCATCGATGTGCCCATCCGGACAATCACACAGACTTTGTACTAGGGAGGTGGTAAGTCTGTTTAATGTCCAGTCCCACTGATTTGGACATTTGCGTTCTCACATACATATTATCGACTCAAACAACATGTCGTACAAAGAACTTCTTTTTGAGCATAACCTGGCCCTTAGCCAGCTATCCTGCCATCTCTTCAAGCTTCCTTTCTGACAGCCAGCAATCCTTTCTCTATCCCTTGCCCCTGTATGTGCCACCTGCACAGTCACACTTGTGGAATTCATTGCATGAGGATGTACCTGTTATAGTCTTGAGTTGTGCCTGATATTAGCCGTCATTCTAGTACATTATCATGGGGATGAACGTTTATAATCCAACTCTTGTTGTGCATTATCATACCTGCAAAATCTGTCAATGGGTTTTGCCCTGGGTGTGTCTGTGCCCAGTACCAGGCATGTCCACCAATCAGCAGGCCTCCTCCCTCTGCTACAAAGTCTTGGATTTCCTGAGCATGATCATCACTGTACGCTGTACACACAAATACACTCAGGTCTTTCCTGAAGTTTGTCATTTCACACTTTAACCCTGACTTGCTGAGAACTCTTCGAGTGCGATGAATTCTGGCACTACACCAACGGACCCCCTTGCCGTTCATCAACCAGCGATATGGCATGGATCCAAAATGGAGGCCAGCTTCCTGGTGATAAAGGACAGTTAAGAAAAAGAAAAGAAACAGCAGTAGTTTAGTTAACGCACATGTGGCGATTTAGACTAGTAGGCCAAAGACTATATATTTGACATTTAAAGGACTTACTTTCGTCTCAGATTAAATTGAGTACATAATGACAATCTTGCTCATATATTCTTTACTACAAAAGTATGATCATATGGAACAACAAATGTCGATTATTGTGACTTGTAAACCGAGTCCTTAATGTAGGACTTTAGCCCTCTCGCTCCCATAATATCGCCTTCCATGGTGAGACCCAACTTGACGCCGGTCCACTGGCCCATAGGTAGGCTGCCTGCCGCCATGAAGCGCGGCGTCGTCCATTGGTCTGGTGGGTCCCAATTGGAAAGGGTTAGGGTTGGCCTTTTTTGGGACCAGAATCTTCGAGAGGCTCACTTGCCGTCCAGCCCTGGACTGTCAAACTCGAAACTCCTCCTGGAGTAAGAACTCCAGGTCATCCTCCACACAATCCTTACCGAGTCTGTATTTGAAAGTGGGAACAAGGAGAACAGAAGAAATGACTAGACAGGATAAATCTAGGAGTTAAGAATCGAGGATGTGATCAACCACATTTTCTAAATCAAATTTCAAATTCCTGATTTGTTGGGATGGGAAAGCCGATGATCTTGGTTTCTCTCAACATCATGTTAATAACGGATTGACACGTATTATTGTTAGAATTCTCTTTTTTTTGTTTTCTTCTTTTACAATTGTTTTATTATTTGTGGTTTTCTTGATTGGCTGCCTTGTTTTCTTGGACACGCGGTGATATAGTGTAAAGCAGACAGACAGGTTCAGGTTGGTCTGCCAGAATCAGAGTGGTGACGAGTTGAGTCATATGGTCTGCATCTAACCACGGAGGCCCCACCCAAAAACATCCCTGGCAAACGATTGTTCAACATTAATAATAGTAATTACAGCTAGTATTACATGTGAATATAATGAGTAGTTCTTTCATTATTTGTTCTAAGTAAAGGTCTAAAATTGAATTCTAAGGTAGAAATGGCCTTCAGGCGATTGAGAGTGCGATTGTGTTAATAATGTATAATCATGGTCATAATCAGGAGGGCCAAATGGCTCGGGTGTAGGAAGTCAAACGTATTTGCAAAATGGACCATCCCAAATGTCGGCAATAAAACGGAGAAAAGAAGTATTACACTCACGACTACAGCCATCCAGGAGGATGGATCTGGCTGGTAGAACAGAGCGCACTCCGCGCGTACGCGCTCCACCCACGATGCCCAGACCAAAGTAGATCCGCTTGGCGAACACCAGGGAAACCTGTTGTTCCCTCAACCAGCTGAAGCAGGTGTGTCTCCTCCTAGGGTGGTTTTGCAGAGCCAGCTCCATTGCCTGCCCCCGCTATCAGCACTCCTGCCTCCATGCTTTCAGAAGATTGCCACCCAGGTCCTTTGGCGGTCGGCACCACGGCTGTAGGGCATCAGGTCAGCGGATGACACACCAACCTCCAGAGTCAGTTACTAAAGGCACCCAGCTAATTTTGGGCTTTGGAAGAATGAGATCGTTGCTGAGGTTATCAGGCTACTGCCCTTTATGTTTTTGTGAACCCAGCAGACAAGTGTCAGACCCAGTCTCCTCTCCAGCCAGGGTCAGAGCATCGCTACCAGAGCAGGATAAGCCAGGTTGCAGGTATCCTTCAGACCCCAGGACAGAACAAGTCCTTCCACGCGCTCTACAGAAGGGTCAGCCATCAGGACCTGGCCTTGTCCAGCATAAGAAATCCGATGATCGCCAATCAGAACCAGGTCACTGGAACACAGGGGCCCCCGAAGTTCCAATTCTCATTCTTTATAGCCTCTCATCGCAGGGGGACATGTAGGGCCCTTCAGATTGGGTGGTTTTGGGCTGGGGCCTCGGATTGTGACATGTGTGTGGAGGTATGGACTGATGGCTCTGCAGTTGGAAAGGAAAGTGAGGGGTGTGAATATAAGGTGCAGATGGCCACTTGTCCTTATTAGATAACTGTGATTGACGGTCACAGAGCCAAGTGACCTGTAGATAATATTTCGGGGGTGGGTCAGTTTACGTTTTTAGTCCTGTGGGGGTAAAATTAAGGAGAGGTCTCGG